GAAAACTATATAAACTAATGTATATATTATATTAAAAGAGTGGGTCTGATCTTCCTTTATTTGTTTCGTCCTCTAAGGGCTAATCGGTCGGTCTTGTCAGCTTTTGGAGGAAGTGTGGTAGACTAAATTTTAATTGAGTGTAACTAGCGCATAATAATTGTCTTGATAGATAAATGTACGTCATTCTATTAAGAAATTAGAGTTGTTTTTCATTTCACTCGAGTGCACAGCATTAACATTGTATCTTTCTCATTTTATCTTATGTATAATTTGTAATGATTATTTAATATGATCACATTTATTTTATTAATTTTGTAATGAGTAAGTGCCTTCATCACTTTGCCATGCCCTTACAGGATGTCACATGTATATTAGCAAGCCATTGTACCTAAAATAATATAAATGTAACAATGCAATAAATAAACGAATTGACGAATGATAGAGACAGATGAGAAATGAAGACATACTACCTCGACACCAAGTACACGGTCAGAAGGAGCATGATAAATATTAATTTGATCAAAAATAGATGTTACAAGAAGATGACACGCCAGTTATGGATAATAACTTACAATCTGAATTCATGCCTGGGGTCAGACATGTTTTTAAAAAGCCCTATGATACGCCGCCAGCTTGATTGGACGTAATTAAACAAGAAAAAGAAATAGAACATCAATGATTTAACACTTTTACGATTGCTTTACTACGAAGTCCGTTTAAAGTTAAAAAGTTTATTTCGATGTTAAAAGTTTTAGTTTCGTTGTCATTTGTTGTAAATTAAAACTTTATGTCGTTATTTGAAACTGGCGATTCACGCTTATCGTTTAAATAATAAAACTGTAATAACTTATCAATATTTTACATATCTTGGTTCAAAATCACCAAACATAGCTTTTTTTTATAATATCAAGTGACGGAACTAACAAATCATGCCATGGCATTGAGTATATAACCAGAAATAGAGACGAAATTTTATTTAATTTGTTTGAAAACCATTCTGCCAAATCATTACTGTGACAACTGCACTGCGATTGGCTAGCCCGAGTTCGAAACAATTGACGAGTTTCGTCAATTGTTTCACTTCAAACAGACCAGTTTAACTTAAGCTTTGCTATAATGGACGAAAACTGAAAAATCACATATTAATATTTAATAACCGATGAAATTGTTTCCGTTTGTTTTGTAATTAAATGGTATGCTGTTTTTCCCACACTACCGAATGGAACAGCTCCTCATGGTTCGAGATATTATCTTTATTACAATAAATATAGAATATTTTTGGAATATACGGAGACGTACAGGGTCAAGAGCACGTCAAGTCACGCACTTACGACTTAAATCCAACTCTATGCCGCTTACGATAAGAATGGTCCAAAGTACAAAGTGCCAAGCTTGATGTGCTCTTGACTGTACACACAGATCAGTTGTTGGCGCTGCACTATTTCGACAAAAGAGAGTTGATATTTAAAAGTGATTATTATTCATTTTTATTTATTCAAAAAAAGTTTATACATTTACAACAGTACATCTCCCGCCAAACTGGAAACAGTTTGTTGGCGAGCACGCTCTCACACATTATATGTTAATTCTTAATTAATGAATTAATAGCGCACAATAAAAACAACAAACAACTAATATAATAAATATAACTAAACTTAGACTTAACTTCTACTAACTCCTAATAATATATTTTTTAATTTAGATTTTAAAATTAGAACACTACTTACTGGATTTTTCCTAAGGAAACCTATATTATTAAAAATATGTGGTACCAGATATTTGTTTAGCCTTCGTCCGTCATAATTGACAGTCCGAGGTTGCACAAACTGTCCTTCACGAATCCTCCTAGTCCTATATTTGTAATATGTTATATTTAAAAGTGATATAAGGCCCATTTGCCTGATGAGATGCCAGGGATGGATGGCCCTTATTTCGTCTCTATTTCTGGTTATATACTCGATGTGCCATGGTAAGCAGCATACCGATCCATAATAGTTGCAGTTTCACTCAGAGACTAACTTGAGCTTAATACAGAGAGAATGGCTTCTTTTGAAAGGTTTGAAGGTACAAATGAAATTAAAAGATAACTTTTATCCTTAAATAGGAGTTATAAAGTTTCACATAAACAAAAGTAAAGTAAAAAGCCCTATTTGACAGCTAAGGATACGACAGTATGTAATTTTGAATGCAATCAGCGAATCAACAAACAATTATTAACTTAAAAAAATACATTAATTTAGTGAATCATTATGATTACCTAATTAGTATGATAGAACATATTTCAAGTATGATTTTTCGGACGAATTCCAAAATTAAATGTAATTTTGAGTTAAGTCGGAAACGTTTTAAAAACAGTTACGTTTTTCATTTTTTTTATAATAGTATTATAATGAATATTAATCGCCGAATCAAATCAATTTTATATAAAAAAATATTCACTTTTTGATAATAATTTTGACAGAGATGTTTACATTGATAATCAATTATTATAATAAATAATTATACCCACTTAATAATGTTTTAGATTAATTGTTAGTGATCAGAGATAAACTCTCCAGTATTGAGTCAAACTAGTTATGGTTCTGTATGTATCTGATAATGTTATTGAAATCAGTGCTAATAAATAATTAAAATAAAATACATGCTGTGACACTAGCTCAACTGATGGTTTTGCTTATCTTCTGATGAAAGTGAATAAATATTTAAACTATTGAAGTCTTTCTTGTTTTGCTCCAGAATTTTGCTATTTAACTATAGATTGTCATTGTGATCATTGTACTTATTTACGTAATATTTATATTAAACTCTATCTAAATAAATGATAATTTATTTAGAACTGAAAACCAATGAACCGAAAAAATAGTCTAAACTAATAACAGACACATAAAATTTCGAATCGATTTCTCGTGAGAATGGTTTAACTTAGTTACCGATATGTTTATTTCTTAGTTCACATCCCTACTTACGTTGCGATGACAAAGGTTAAAAGGTGCCTCATGTTCTTATTTTGTGACGACATAAAGTTCGTATTATTTTTATGGCCATCGTGTCATTGTCATAAAAGCACTTTTGACATAAGATCTCATGTGACTTTATTATAACAAGGGTATGGCATATGAACCCTGATAATGACATTGTAGAGGTTTATCATTATATTTCTTGACGTATCAGAAACTGTTTACGGTACGCTTAAAAAAATGTGTGTGATGTATGTGCACAAACACCTTACGCCCTTAATAAACGTACAATAAAAATAATTTACATTTAAATCATTTACTAGAGAAAAACACGTCCTCTCGCTTTGAAAATTTAGAATGGAGTGATACATGATGAGAGAAAGCACGTCCACTCGGGTCGAGAATTTTGATGGAAGTGACATAATAGTAATTCTCTTTGGGAGTGACGACAGACGGAACGAAGCAAGAAAAGATTGACGAAGAAAAGGAATAAGAGGACGATTGAAAATTTCAAAAGGAAGTGGCCAAGAACCAGAGAGAAGGGTGATAAAAAGGTAGAAAAAAGAGGTCACATCGCCACGTATGTACACCTTAAGAGATTCTGTATCAAAACGACAAAGCCCGAAAGGCAATTGATTCTTCAATAACTCAATTGGTCGTATACTTCGAGATATGATGGCACATTGTGACTATACTGCGTTACGACCTTTGATCTCGCTTTTGTAAGGGGTCAGTATGCACTGTATATAGGGTGTTAATAATTGTTTCGTAGTTTTGTACCATGTTACATTGCAGATTGGGAGACCCAAAATATATATTTTGATGTATTTTGACCACAAATCGGATTTTCGATATTTTTAAGGTCGTTTTCGAATTCTACAATTTTTTTTTTATTAACTAACTAAATAAATAAATAAATAACGCACACACTCAACATAGCCCCGCACTAGGAAAACCCTGTGTCGCGGGTGCCATGAACACACACATAGACAATATAATAAAAATATTTCTCCCGGCCCAGGAATCGAACCTGAGACCTCTGCGTGGCAGTCCGGCATGGTAACCGTTCGGCCACGGAAGCAGTAAAACTAAACTTCGCACGATAAAAAAATAACAAAGTTCTACAAAACTGTATACACATGGGACTTATCAACTTATGTCTCAGTGGCAGTGCCCCTCAAATCTTTGTGTTTCACTCTGAAACTGTCATGGACAGGCGTGTCGTTTACCATCAGGCGCCAACTTGTTCGTCCCGTCACTAGGTATCATAAATAATTTTAAACATAATTTAATTTTTTATTACGTTTATCTACAGAAAACCAATTTCGTTTGATTGTAATTATAGATAATTTATAGTAATTTTGTTTACTCTGTTCCGTAATAAATTCTTCAGGGGTATAGATAGGAGCTTATTTAGAAACTATATTTTATTTATAAAATGCAAATGTCAAAAATCATGCAATGAATTTCTCCGCGTCTGCATCTCACGCTTCAAAGCCTACGCTATCACGATACCATTTCGCCTTAAGGTCAGAATGTACAGTACATGTACAGGCATCTTTTATGCGAACGTAAGAGCACGACATACATAACGAGCATAACTACACGAACATCAATAATTTTATTGGATCTTATATTTGAAACGTCCTGTGTAAAATGATGGACTAAAGATGAATAGATTTCCGAGTTCATTGAGGCAACGTTAAGTGATCAATTCATCACGACGAGCGACGGCGACGTTTTACTGCATTGTCGACAAATTGTTCCTTGTAAAATTCCAGTACTACTACTAACATCTTACTTCATTTACTAAAGATCTTTATTAATACACTTCAAAAAAAGTTAAATTTAAAATATTTTTCTCCTTGTATTTTCATTTTTTCAGTATCATCATAGTACAGTAGCGCCATCTGCTCTGTAGTATCAAAATCTCTTACTATTAGCTACTCGTCAACAGATGGCGTTATTATCAAGGCAAAAAGTGTGAATCCAAAGCTTCAAACGTATTCCAATTAATTTTCATTTTACCAACACTGGCACAAAATGTCCGACGGCGCTTGTCAAAACGTCGATTCGGATCAGATTTGTTGTAAAAAACGTAAAATTTCCGAGTTACATGAGAACAATGTAAACGAAAATCAGTTGAAGTTAGAAGACTTTATTCCGGAGAAAGTTTTGAACAACAATACAAATAGGAAAACGGTCTGTGTGCAAGGAAAATTTAAAGACAAAACTGGCGTGGGTTTGATTGTATTAGAGAAAAATGCTTTCAAAGAAGAAGAATTAGACGAAAACGGTTATTTTTCTGAGGATTCAGAGCTTCGCACGTTGTTCCAGAACGATATTTACGGCAATTTCGAGTGTTTCCCTCGATCTTCCATTAACGGTAAGAGCTTATTTACTCCCACTTAATATCATTTTCACTTTCAATATTTCCAAGGTTCTTGTTATACGATTAGTCATCAAGACAATTCTGATATTATTTCTTTGTTTCGATTCTAAAAGCCACATTTACTGTATAAAACCCATTCAATCTTATCGCGAAATATATCTGAACTTCTAAACTAGTTGCGCCTCGTGCTACAATCGAATTATTACGTTAAAATCGTGTAATAGTTGATAACGTACACGTATGCAATAATAAACGACTCTATAATTATTAATTAGTCAACTACTTGCTTTTGTGCTTTTAATTATTTTATCTCTGTCATTAAGTATAATAATAATGGTAAGTTATTATCATTTAGTGTAACATTTCTCATATCACAATGTCAACTTAAGAAAATCAAACAGATTGTACAAACATAGCATAATTAAACTATACATAATAAATTCAACATGGCTAGCCTAATCTACATGTGGCAGTTGTTTAAGAATAAGTGTCAGTGTTAAATTTTCAATTTTGAAATTGGCTTGTGTAGTGAACAGACTTACTCTCGTCTTGGAGGAGTTCTAGAGATATAAATTTATTGCTGAAATTTGCAACTATTGAAGGTTTCCATTGCTTTCATGTCCCACCATTTTGTTTCTCGGCAATTCTGGCATTAGCTTGTTTAGTAATGACAAAACTTTGTGACAATGTTCACCTTCATCACCATCCCACTTTTTATCACCCGTCTTTACTGGTTCGTGACCACTTTTAATATTTTGAATCATTCTCAATTGCCCATCTCCTTCGCTATTAGGTTGGTTTGAGTCTTCATCACTGCCATCATTTGTAAATGTTCGATTCCCAGGCCACGAAAAATATTTGGATGGCCTACATTTATTTCTATTGTGTCTTATAACTCGATCCACGGCGCCCAGGATACCGGGTTTCCCCAGTGCAGGGCTATGTTGAGTGTGTGCGTCATGTATTCCTAAATTAAACATGTTTACTATTAAAGTAATATAGATTTATAGGCTCTTTTGGAATGAGTATTGTGTATTCTGTTTAGTCTTGTATAGGAAGTGTTTTATATTATTTACATTTCTTTTATAATTTTATTTGTTACAGCCTCTTTTTACAATAAAATATGTGGACCAAGCATTCTGCATTCTCTTTTCGCTAAACCTAGGCTACTGAATGCTTCATTTATGTGCACTGTGGTCATATTTTGAGACGTACACACTTGTGTTCATTTTTAAAACTAAATTGACAACAGGAATACATATTAGGTCTTTGTGCTTGTTCTTAGTCTGCAAGCACCCTAATTATTTTACCGATATTTATAAATACTACGAACTGCCTGTAATAGGAAAAATCCAGGAAGCGATATATTCAGAAATTATTCAAGTATTTGTGGTGTTATAAATAGGGCCTTTATTGAATCACTTTTCTTCAAAATCATTAGTTATTTTGTTATTGCTTATTAATTGTAGCTCCATTGTTCTCAGAAATATGTTCAGTCAGAAATTTTACTAAAGCCCTTACAGGTTGACGATGGCATTAGTAACCCGTTCCATTCTAATGTGTCATTTGACATTATAATTTTCTTGCTCATCAATTTGCAGTGTTTAGTAACTGCAATTAAATTTTACCTTAACGGTATATATGTATATAATGTTAATATTTGTTTACCGTTAAGTATTGCACATAATACATAAGAATGAAATTGATATAACAACACAATTGTCAACTTCCATCCAACACGAAAAGTACTGTAATTTTCTGGTTAAAATCATCAATAATGTCGAAAGCAGGGTTCAAAATTATCAACAAATTTAACTTCTTTGATAATTATCCAATGTATAACTGATAATTATCTATTCTGATTCATAGCTTTGTCTCTTTAATTTTTGACAGTGAGAAAACTAAATAAACGTGAAGAAAAATCTTTGGAATAAACAATTTGGTTTGTAACTTTTTATGAGATTGACATTTGACACGTTTCTATTTTAGTTGCCAACTAGACTACCGCAAATTCTGTCGCTAGACAGAAGGCTTAGAAGTCGCAAGTTGTCGTTAAAACTATATTTCCACTCCTTATGGAAATTCTACTCTTATGGTGCCCATCATAAACTTCATTTCATTGGCAAGAACTTTATGGTCATGTCACAGATAAAAGACCAGTTCCCATTATTCCTGCGCGACTGGATAGACCGGAGGATATCTAGCTTATCCTCTATTAGTTATCCAGACTAGCACTGGAGATATCAGTCGCAGTGTCCTGAGACAGTGTCCAGACATAGTTTACAACCTAAAAACCAATATAATCCTACCATTGAGTAGAAAATATATGAGATAAGATGAAATCATATTAAATGTTAATAGACGAAACATAACGAAACGTAATTAAAAAGGCGCCAAAAAAGTCGCTAATTTTTTCTTGTCGCTAAATAGAAACAAAATGTCGCTAAACTGGCAACACTGGTTTCTATGCGTCACCGATATGGACACACGGCACAATGTTGCTAGTTTTATTGTTCCAATTAATTCTATAATTACCAAGATAAATATCAAAATCGAGATAACTGCCACTGCAAACCTTGATTGAAAGTATCTTGAAAACAGTCTTTTGACAGATCTTATAACTAAATTACTTCTGCTAAATCAATTTACTTCATAAACTTGTATGGAGATAAAATAGGTGTTGAATCTAAGAGGTTACAATAGGTGTTTCATTCCACTTTTTTTTCTAAAATATCTTTAGATTTCATCCTTTGTTACTTAAGAACTTGTTAACGTCACGCTCCATATCATTGTTTTTATAATGCAAAGATCATGGCCCATAATCTGACCCGGTTAATGGATGTTTGCGTACAAAAACCACATTAGTTTTAAATTATGAAGATCTAAACCACTTTTTATTTTATGTAAAAAAGAATTTTGAGCTATAATTTGATATTTCTATTGTGGGGCTATAAGTGTGTGCCTTATTATTAGTAATATATTTAATTATATATAAATTTTTTTCCATACAATTAAATATATATATATATTATTATTATTTTTAATTATTATTATTATTTTAATTTATTATTATTAATTAAATATATGCAAATATTTAATTGTATGAAAAAAAACTGCGCGGTCATTTGTAGTAGAACTAAGACCTAAATCATTCTCTGGGTGATCATTAATTTTTTGTATAAAAATTGTACACTTTTTCTTAAATCCAGCTATTTCTCATTTGTGTATGCCATGGGCATGGTTTTTATACGTTGGTGGGCCATGACCTTTAACATTTTAATTTGTATTCTGTATATTGTTTATTTTTAATTGTGAACTTTGTTCTTTCCAGGACTAAGAGCTACTATAATTTTCCCAGCTACTGAAAATCACATCGTGAAATACAGTCGGCAAGAAGTCCACCTCGTTTCTGAGACTCCAGAGTTGTATCAAACACTGACATTGCCTCATATTGAGAGTAAACAATTTAATATACAGGTAACAGGAAATATATAATTTTTTTACACAGCATTCTCATTACTACGATTTGTAAGGCCTTAGCAGTCAGAAATCCTATAATAAATTTATAATATTATATTTCTGTTAAAAATTTTACTGCAGTAAGGCCCTATGAATAGTTGGCTAAATTTGAAAACCTCGTAACTCCGTTTTTGGATGAAAACTATTTTTTACTCTTCGAGCGCTATATAGAGCAATTAAAGCTTATAATATAATTTCTGAACTCTTTTAGATATAAATTAAAGGTACAATCATAGATTGTGATATGTCTTGTAATTCACATGAATTACGAGATTTACAATGACAAAATGCAATACAATTATGCAAAAAAGCTTAAAAACATTAAAAGCATTACTGCAATTGAACAGCACAGATGCATTAAAACTTTTTTGATGTATTTTTTTTTTCACCCAATAGCTTACAAATACTAAAATGGCAATTTGTACAGATATAAATTTAAACAATGCTAAAATGGGAGACTGCTGTCCAAGCTAGGTAAAAAAACCTGTGTTATGGATCACCAGGAAAGCTTCTAACTATTAACTGTTGATTCTTTAAATGTGTACAAACTTTTTGCCGTACAAATAAAATAAATCAGCAATATTATTTTCCAGTGGGTATACAATATCTTGGACGGCAAAAAAGAACAAGACAGAGTGATCTACGATAACAAGTGTGAAAAAGAAGGATTTTTAATTGTACCTGATTTAAAGTGGGACGGGGTAACAAAGGAGACACTGTATTTGTTAGCAATTGTCAGACGTAGAGGCATTAAGTCTTTGAGGGATTTGAATGAGACTCATCTACCGCTTTTGAAGAGAGTTAGAGACGAAGGAAAGGTAAGCAGATTTTCTAGTTTGTTGTTGGCTAGCTGTGACGCGTGCGCTATTTCGAGATGAATTACTGGACTGAAAGTTGCCCACTTGTTGTTGTTTGAAATTAGTATACAATGATGTAGAAATTCTATTAGTCACAAAATATTTATAATACTGGAAGAATCTTATGCAATTTACATTTCAGAAAAAGTTTACAGAATTTCTCATATTGACATAAGCCAGTACCTATAGTATGAATAATGATTATTTATACTCAGTAGAGTACTAAAAAACCGACCTCAAAAGTTCGCGGAATACATCTATTTGCCAAGATTTATGCTCTGACCACACAGGGGCGGCTTCGGCCGCTGCGTGTTACAGTGTGGCATGCAAAAAAAAAAAAAAAAAGGGTGCATATGAACTTGACACGTTTAGAGGTGGAATATTTTCTTCAAATTTCTCTTTCTTCAGGATCAATACCGAGGTGCCCTCTTTTCAACAAAAAAAAAGGAATCATCAAAATCGGTTCACATATCGTATCACACATACAAAAAAAGAAAAAACTTAGTCGAATTGAGAACCTCCACCTTTTTTTCAAGTCGGTTAATTAAATGTCCAAAATGTAAACAAAGAGACGTCAGACGACGCCATAGTGATAATGTGTGCTAAACCTATTTTTAACGGACTTATTTTCTCCAATTTTAGTCTTGCATAAAGGTTACCAAGTTTAAAATTACGTGCGCGTTTAAACTAGTTGTTTGCACTATACAGATGTCACGTGTGTTACCGAGACGGCTCACTCTTTTGTTCTATACTCTAAAGACGAAGCGATAAGACGAATCGGTGCAAATAATATTTCGCCAACTAAACATTGTTTTTTGATTATAAATATTGTATTGAACGAAATTGAGTAACAATATATAATGCAAAATGTGAATCGTTTTACTTTCAAAAGATTTCATTCTCATTATAAACTTGCGCGAAAAGCTTTATATGAAAATCGAACTCGACAATGTTCTGTGGGTGCACCACAGACTATAACGACACGTTCTCAACTACGCGATTTGTCGTACATGATTTATGTAATATAAATCCGTTGGTATATTTTATTCTCATTATTGTTGACATTAAATTGACAACGATAACTAAATTTGTTTATTGTCAAAAATAGGACAGTGCCATTTAGGATGCATTTCTTTTCTCGGTTATACCTTTTGTTTACATTTTGGACATCTAATTATAATTCACACTAGGCAATGCTAGTAATAAAATTTAATATAGCCAAATGTTTCTATATTTCAGAAAGCAATCTTAGAAAAGTACAACATACCTGGCACCCAACTGCGCATCTACTTGCACTACCAACCCTCGTACTATCATCTGCATATACATTTCACGTACCTACGTCACGAGGCTCCCGGGATCTATGCAGAAAAGTCCCATTTACTTGAGACAGTCATCAATAACATTGAAATGATGAACGATTATTATCAAAAAGCTACTCTGCCTTTCACCATTCGTGAAATGGACGACCTTTTCAACGTTTATGAGACAAATGGATTTCTAACACGTATTACATCGAATAGTGAGAAACTAATTGATAAATAAGAACGTTGTAGAATAATTTCATGATCCGAAGAGGATTTTTCATGAGATAGTTAGATTGATAAGTGAAAATGTTGATTAAAGATATTTTTATGGAGCTACGCTCGAGATTGCGCAGCTGCAACGTGTACATTACAACAGGAGTGGATTTCAACAAAAATTGCAATCTAAAAATCAGTATACAAGCGAATTGCATTGTACTGAATTATTATAATAATGAGAACGATAAGTTGAAGAGGCGTGACAGTCTTTCCTCTATTGAAAGTCTATCAGACTGCTACTCTGACGATGACAATGATGTGACAACAGTAATTCCAATAGGACAATTCTGTCACATAATACCAAACTCTATGTCATGTCTCAAAATTGATAAAAACACCATTTCATTCAGAATTTTAACCGAACCAAAGAACGGTGGGAATTTTTACAAAGAACTTCTTTCTGCTAATACGGAACAAACATCCATGAAAACAAATGAATTAAAAGTCAATGTAAAGGTTAACAAAGAACTAAAAATCATATGTTCCAATTGCTCTAACATTGTGTCCGACAACGTCATAAAATTCTATAGAATTCTGGAGTTACCATCAACAAATTTGGACATGTCCGAATGGTTTTGCCACGGGCACAATCATTCTCATGAAAATCAGACCCAAACAGATTTAACAGTGAAACCTAGTAAATTTGATTTTCTCTACCGTCTGACATTTTTTGTGATAAATAATTCTATTTTATCGGAAAAAACGAACAAGTTTAATTCAAAAAGAGACGTGTACCATTGCAATAGATGCCTAGCTTGGCTTGGTCTCAAAAATAAGGATAATACAGTAAAACTTTTCCATTCAGAAGTAAAAACAATACAAAACAATACAGAAACAAGCATATTTGTGCACAAGAACCCGTCAGACAACCAACGTATAGACGACTTTGTTTACACAATAGAACAACTGACTAAAGAATTCAACCTGGGCCTGCAATACACAGTGACATGCAAAATTGTACTTGAATGCACAGTTTCAGCTAACAAGAAGCAATATCTACTCATTTGGGTTATGGATAAAGAGTTACAAGTTCTCAGAAACACCGGAGACCATATTGACGACGATAAAGTGAAACTGCAGTCAAATTTTTTAACGAAAATTCTTTATAAAATTGAATCATCACTCAATGAGGATGTTGAAGCTTGGCTCTCGGACCCAGGTGTGGTTTCAACGGAGATATCAAAGAATATGCTCTGTACAGGCTTGGAACATTTGCAAAAAATGTCTTTGAATATGCCAGAATCGTTCCGCAGTACTAATGGGTACTTTGTAAGCTATTTGAAGGTGTAATAAATGTTGCAGCATTTATTTTATTGGTTTTATTACATTTTATTGTCGCATTTTTGAAATTTGATTAATCAGGAAAAACCCAGATCAGTTTTCATCGCACTAGATTTGGTCGATCCACCGTATCAAAGATATGGTGTGTAAGACCACGAGAAAACGGCTATTTTACTATGCCATGGAATAAGCTTATTCAAGGTGCACCATTCCTCAACCTCGAGAATTATAGCACCTAGCTTAGATATGAATGCACTAAAAAAAATCGCAATTTACTCGGTTCTAGTCCTAAGAAACTAGATTTAGTCGTTATAAGTTTATTCCAGGTGCACCGTTCCTCAATCTCGAAAACCACAGCACGTAGCTTAGATCTAATTGCACTAAATAAAAGTAGGTAGTTAAAAAACTAGATTTAGTCGTTATGAAGTTTTACTATCCACGCTGAAATAAACTTGTTCCGGCGGCACCATTTTTGTATCTCGACAATCGTCTCCCAGCTAGATCTGATTGCGCCCAGAAAAACTCGTGAATTTTATCGGTAGGTAGTAGGTAGGTTTATGTCCAACAGTGGACGTCTTTTGGCTGAATTATTGACTAATAGAAAATTTGTTGCGCACATGTCACTGAAGTAATATAAAGAAGTGTGTACAAAAGTAACTTGAACAAATCACAACTACACGCGAACTATCCCAACATAGATACATTATAGGTTCCACTGCAGGGCACGTGTCTCTTGCAAGGAGATGGTTTAGGCCATAGATCATCGCGCGTTTTCTAAGCATATGCATGTTTTATCACGATATTTCCTTCGGCATTAGCGGACATTCATAAATTTACGTAACTTAATGTAATCGTCGAATCCCAGTTAAGAAGCAGCTGTTCTATGAGTATCAAGTAGTAAAAGAATAAGTCTGTTTTAATACAAAAATATTTATTTTCATATATCCCTGATAATCATTTATTTACAACAAAAATATGAAGAATAAAACACAGTACATCTAATTTTATTTCCAATATTTTTTATGTGAATCAATAACCTCAGAATTTGAAAAAGTAAACATTATTCACTATTAGAAAATACAAAGATTGTTATTGACAAAGCTGCCAGTAATAAAGAAGAAAGGAGCCGTTCGCTTGTCTTGTGCGTTTTAACGGTCTTCCGGTCCTTGTTTGGTTTCTCAGAATTTGTTAACGTAACTGTAGCGAAAAACAGAAATATTTTGTCCTCAAGAGTAAGAAATACATAAAACAATAACAAATTAATTGGTTTGAAATCAAATTCAGGAGCTTCTCTGGAGTTTTAAACTTTTTAGTAAAAACATTTCTTATAATCTGCAGGTATACATCCTCTCGTTCTCCGTCCTAAACAATTTACTGTCAAATAAGTAATACTCGACCAAATACTAAAAGGCAATGTCAAATATGAAGCTTCAATCGCATCATGCGTTTTTTAATTTGATCGTGTATTACTTTTACTTATTTGACAGTTTCATGTTTCGGACGGAGCACGAGAGTCGGGTCAGTGGGGTGATTCAAGTAATCAAACCGTTATCATATCGTAGCGATTTAGTCGTTGAACAGCTTTTTCGTATTCACGCGTGACAGTGAACGTCAACGAGTCCCATTTTAAAGTCGTTCGATCCAAATGTCTTCTTCTTTTAAATGTTATGACCCCATCGAAATAATCAATGATTTTGCCAATGTCAAGTAAAAATAACTATGTACGATAGTTTAGTATTATTATAAAAATTATACAAAAAAATGGCGATGTCGTTATAGCGTATTCTGGTATATGAATCGAACTTATTTCGACTCTAAACGACAAGCCATTTTGACAGTTCTTTAAATAGACTTTCGACGACTAAATGTCAAATTTCGCAATCCAAGATGTCGTCATTAGTCGTTACGTTTCGATTCTACTCATACCAACGTTCGTTCAAGTGCTACGTGATTGCCCATTTTGGATAGGACTTCGATCGAACGACTACGTAACTTCAACGATATTTTGATAGCTTGAACTTACGTGAATCGCACTACTGGTTATATTACTGAACAACATGCTTACTTATTATTTATAACATAAATATAGACTCATCCGAAGAACAGAGTCCGTTGTGATTGTATAGCGAAAAGAGAATTGGTACATTACGAGAATAATTTCGTTATTCAAACTAAGGCCCGTGTAAAGGTATTTTGAGAATTTATATACCTTATTTCGTTTCGGAAATATAAAATCAAACAACTGTCGATCTGACATCCACAGCGAAGAACAAACGAAATGATAGTACAGTACAGTTGTCCTGAGAACAAGTAGTCTTGCACATATATCTTTGTTCTACGGATGAGTCGAAATAGTTCTATTGCGGTAATTTTAATGTAGCCATTATATAAATTACAAACGCCGTATCTCGAAAAGCGATCTTGTCGTATCTCGAAAAATAGGACTTTACACCGAGGCCGAAAAACTTTTAAAGTAGGATGTATATAATCATACTTTAAAATTGACTTTGTACTAATTCAAATTAAAGAGAATATTTTTTTAATAGATTTTCGGCCCCGATGTAAAGTCCTATTTTTCGAGATACGACAAGATCGCTTTCCGGCGTTAGTTTCCTTTTGTACAACGCGAATGAAACCAAATAATGTCGTAACTCAAAATTGTGAAATTAAAAGAGAAGAGATCTTATTGCGAATAATGTGATATTTATGGGTCGAATATTTAGTTATTCATTAATAAAGGAGAATTTGAATAGCAGTAGAGCTCCTTGTGAAAAGACTTCAATCCAGGGAAATGTTGCCACCTTACCTATTTCTGTCGCCAGAAGCACGATTTTGACATACGACAGTATTTGAACAGACTTTACGGACTGTAATAACAGTATAAAAAAACGCATACCACAGAGGATTGCTGTAAGATTGTGAATAAACGTGACTTGATTTTACATTAAAAAGGAATAAATGCGGAAAACTACTGTAGTAAACAAGTATGTCTTAGAACAAGTTTTGTGGTTATGAGATAAAGTTGTTTTTCGCAAATTCGTTAAATACTTTGCAAACCAGGTAAGTTTTATACTTCCTATTAAATTTTCCTTCTTAGGGTCGTATTCTAGAACTCTACTCAATGCTCAAGTCAGAATTTGAGTATGGTTTAAAGCACTCGAAATCATACTCCAGTCCCTACCATTAGTGTCGTATTTCCAGTGCTTGTGTTTCCATTGCAATCCTGACTTGAGCATTGAGTAGAGTTCTAGAATACGACCCTTAGAGCCATAATGTAAGACTATGTTTCACTCCAGTATTTTATCTATAATTCACATAAAATCATAACATTAACAACAGTGTAGGTACAGTCAACAAATTGCTAGCCAAATTAAAATTATTTTACAAAATTCTTTTTCCTTTTATCGAATACTGAAAAATAATAATTGTAATAACTAAGTTAAACTACAAATAAATTCTAATAATGTAACAAACAAATGCAGGCAAAATACTTAAATAAGATAAAGTAAATTCACTGACCACAAAATAAAGCAGCTAACAAAATTTGACTATTGTATTTGTTTTTAGTTTTCACAATAATACGTAATGAATATTGTGAAACGCACCGCACATTGACAACAATATGTACCTTAAACGAAAAAGTCATTCTTCGTAGAATTAACTTTCATGTCGGCAAAACAAAATATCTGGGAGTCTACTTCCATACTCCGTCCGACACGACATCCGCCAGAAGCAATTATTGATACCAGAAATATCAATTAACGTAAGGGACATGTTGTCGAAAATGAGTTCCATATATCATTGGATTCGGAAGTTCCCGCTCTATCGATTGGTATTATTAACATTTAGGAATGTCCAGTGGTTTAAAATATAGCATGTCTCTTACCTTACTTAATAATATTTTATATGTAAACCGTCGAGCATAGTGTAAGCAGTAAGAGACATAGAAAATTATAAGTAATTCTATTGTAAAGGATCCCTTACAATAGAATTACGTGTAATTTTCTGTCCCACAACTAAACATCTTTTTTTAATGCAAAGGACATGCTATATTTTAAACCACTGGGCATTCCTAAATCTTTCGTTTATAGCATGAAAGAAGAAGAAATTCTAAGAAACTTTGCTCTAGACACAATCAAAATTGGAGCAGACAATAAAGTTATAGACAGATTTAAATAAATAAAATCGCTTTTTGGCTCTCCTGAAAAACCGTGGTTTGTCCCTTACATTAATTGATACTTCTGGTGTCAACTTCAACTTTTGTATCTATGGCTCCGTCGTTTTGCGCGACGATTTCGCCAACGTCAGGGTTGAAAGACATATAGAGCGGTGGTGAGATAGATTGCCGGTTATTAAAATACTTCGGCAGTTATTATATTATTGTTAAATAAGTAATATTCGATCGAATCAAAAGATAATGTCAATTATGAAGCTTTATTCGCCATCATGCGTCTTTTTTTGGTCGAGTATTACTTATTTGACAGTAATTGGACGTAGTTAAACAAAAAGGATCCAATACACAGCCAGTCACTTTCGAGATATGGCAGTTTGAAGTTTAGAAGTGTTTCTCACTCTTGTTTTATTTTCAAAACTTAGGCGATTAACACACTGCACCGCGCGCGACGACGGAGAGGCGCGGCGAACCGCACTACCGCGCAGATTTTTAATCAATTTGTGTCTATTCCAGTAATTGTCGTTCGGATATTCCCTAACAAATAATCAAAGGATTCAGTTGACATTCGTGTGTAGTTGGAAAATTGATCTTCATATTTTCTGAAATCTTTGTAATGAAGTTGAATGTTATCTTCGGTGTCTTTATTTGAGTAAACAAAAACAATCGACACTGCAGCGTCCTGAATGAGTTCTGTATTATTAACCATTCTTGTTAAAGAAGGATCTCAGCTACATGTGCAATCACTACGAAGCGAATACTTTGAGTGGCGCGGGGCCGCTAGACCGCTGACGCAGATCTGCGTTTCCGCTACCGCGCGCGTGATTCCGCGTCCCGGGCACCGTCGCGGGGCGCGGTACAGTGTGTTAATCGCCTTATAATGTCACGTAACTGCAGAGATTTATATATGTTATATTTTCTTGCTGATCCAACAGGTTAGATTTTAGGAACCATTTGATACATAACTAATTTTTTTTTAATTTTGTGGATTGGATCCTTTTTGCTTAACTACATCCAATTGTGACCCCCTGTAATAAAGGCATATAGGGAAATTCGTAAGATCTTACTCTGTCTATAGCTCAGATTGTTAAGAGTGACCCCGACCGGCAACAGACATTGGTTCGAGTATAGTCAGATCGAAGAAATTTATTTGTGTTGTTCGATCTTTTTAGAAAATAAATAATAAATTTGTAAACTGAGTTTTTTTTATTTAGTGACATATTAAGTTTAGGTGCTATTATATACCAATAATTTGAAACTGTGTAATCGATTCTATTTTGTTAGCTGCCCGGCTTTATTAGCCGTAACTAATGCCTCACAGAAGCTCAGTGACTTGGGCCTTTGATTCTATAATATTAATTAACTAATTATACATTAAAGTCGCTTTTTAACCGAGCTACAGTGGCGAGGCGTCCATATAACTCGATTTTCAACGTATGTCAAGTTAACCAGTGAAATGAAGTGTACAATATCTTGTGTGCTAATAAGTTTTGTTGAAGTGTCGCCAAGGCGCCGCTTTTTCTATAGGTACGTGTTCTTTGTTTTGCCCCGACTTCACCAACGACAATTGTCACGACTCGCCAAGCCAAGCTATTAAGAAAACTGAGTGCAAACATAGCGCTCATACATAATATTTCACCATTCCACACTCGAATATTAAATACTTCATTATAATATTCTAGAATATTTAAATTAAAAAATTACCACCGAAATTAGAGAAAAGTAACAAATTACTCAATTATAAATGATGCTGGATAACAATAGCCCGTTTACTTCGGGAGGAACGCAGGATCTTTGGAGGCGTCGCGAGCCACTTAAAACCCGAGGCCCTGCACCATAGGTAACACTGGCTACAATAGCCGCTAGAACTTGATATGACATGATTATAATTTCTTCAAACCATATGAATCTGTCTTCTTTAGTAACCCCTTTTGGTAGACATCTATGTTATGATGTCTTCTTGGTTATAACACCCTTTGGACGAAAACGGACTGTGTACTGCGCAGCTGAGCGATGGTGTGCATCACGAAGGAGTAGTTGAAGTACCAGAACAGCCCAAAGACCGTCGCAAATAAGACATCTGTTTAGTTAAGAGTTAAGGACAATTTTGAAGTTAATAAATACTAAATTAGGCGTTAAGTATAAACTATACACATCGGCAATATTATTTAGCAGAACAAAAAAGAAATAACAATGCATATATTTAAATAAATACTGAATTAGACATGACCCAGCATAACCTAATTTCAGTGGCAATTTTTATTATTTAAATATTCGATCCTTTTATTGTGCAATATTCTTTAATATTCGAGTATTATATCGTGAAATATTATTTAATCATTACACGATAATATACTTGAATATTTAAATAATAAAAATTGCCACGGAAATTAGGTAGTGAACACTAGTCCGAAAATAATCAAATTACATTACCATCTTTTCACTCAACCTTTATTTAAAACAAATAAGAAATAAAAGTTTTTTTTTATTTTGCATCAAAGCAGCAAGTAATTGAAAAATATACTACTTTTTAAAATAATTTAAATTAATTATTAATATTATTATAATAACAAATATTGTAAATATGTACCTAGCTACACAAATATTAACAAATTGATCCACTTGTTCTGCGTAGAAAAAACCTACTAAAATACTTTGAGTAATCTACTGTACTAATTTTCATAGTTTTATTGGTTCTCCATACAAACTTTCATCACCTAATGTCCTTCTTTTTTGGAGATGAAGTAAAATTACATTTGCAGCGTTGCCAGTTTTCGTAAAATTTTAAATAGTCATGTAGTTAGTTGTTGTCGACAGTTTTATCGATAAATTGCGAAAGTAGGTAAAATTTTGCCAAAAATGTCTGAATTGTGAATGTTACCGACGGCGACGTTCTAATTATTATTAGAACGTCGAACTTGTAGTACTACCTCACCCGCCCCTCAAAAAGTGGCAGAAAGTTATGTTCGAGAAATAACGCTAATAGCGCCTCCCTTTCTATATGCTCTAAGGTTATTAGTATCGAAATCAATTTTCCTCATAAATGTGATGAAAAACTTAGTATGTATCGTGGAGGCGGTAAAAAAAATACAAAACACAAGTTATTGAAGCCATCTTTTTTTCATAAATTAGTAATTTCTTATTTTACCGTCCTTATTACACAAAGTACTATTTCAAATGCCTTATTCTTTTTATAAATTATTTATGATGATTCAAAACTTGGGCTATTTATTTTATAATCGATATAAATATTTATCGATTACAATCACTAACTGCTTGCAAGCGGGCAACACTTTTGAATGAACTCCCATTTTACTCCACTTCAAAAAAGACAGACTATACCTCACCCCCTTTAAGATTTATTCATGTGACAAAAAGTAGCCTATGTCCTTCTCCTAGGTCCCATCTATATAAACTGTCATTTTAGGTTGTGACAAAGCAGCTCTGACACTTAGACATCAATTATTACCATAAAATACTGTATGTATTATACAATATAAATCAAAGTCTAAATCATATTCCTCGAGAACGTGGAGCACGTTTAAATTATAAATTTATCGTATATGAAAATAATTCCCCCAAACCAATTTACTTCAGCATAGTGAATATGGCCAAAGGTACGAGATCGTCTTCATGATATGTTTGTAATTCATACTAGTCACCAATAAGTTGTGTCAACCGGGACTCTAAGTAAACAGCGAGTCATCGACAGTAGTAGGAATAAAAGAAAAAGCTGACAAATAGAGTTCAATGTAGAACCAAACCGCGAATTGGTTCCTTTTGTGGCTTTTAAAAGAAATCTTACACAGGTATGACTTATTTGTAGGTAAATGGAAAATGTTTACTTAAAGAAAATAATGTGTAAACCGAGAAAATAAATTATAATAGTATAAATTAAATAGGAAATACCACTGTTGTTTTCCTTACAAAAATCATTTCTAAATATAAAACAAAACGGGAAATGCTAATGAGCATTATTTCCTTCCCGGTTTTTTCAAACAATGTTGTTTTTAATCATGTAACCGTTATGTATTGTATTTGTACTTGTTGGAAAAAAAAAATTATTATTTACACTGTGAAGCATGTACAGAATTTGATGAAAGTTTACCATTTACTATTTACAATACATATCTACTTTTCTAGACTTAAAAAGAAGTAAAAAGGAGTTAGAATAAAAAAAAGGCTAATTTAAAAGGTACAAACTAAGCAAAAAAAGTGGTTAATGTGAAGTGTCAATCTAAAATCAACAGATTTATGTCATTAGGTAAACATTGATCAAACATTACGTGTACGTACTCTACCAGGCATTGTGGCCTAAACGTAATAACTATTCCGTTTAGGCCGCGCCGGTTTGAAATGCGAGGCACTAAAAAATTTCATAATAGTCAAATAATGAAATATGGGAAGAAACTTATATACAAAAGTTACCAAAAACATCATACTTCTTAAAAGAAAAGTAACAAACATTCTCAAGTAACATGTAATCATTTGGACATGTTTAAAAAAAAATAGATACCAAAAAATATTTCAAAGATAAATTACTAATTGCCTACTCGCAAATTAAAATAAATAAATTTAAAAACAACAAACCACATTACCAGCATGCTAATTATTACGATTAAAATAGGTCATCCTTATTATATGGAAGGGAAAAATATAACGAAGTATAATGAGGTTAATTAAAGTTATTTTTCTGTGGTGCAGAGGATGATGAAGTCTAAAAAGTGGCGTGATCAGTTTATGAGTCTAGAATTATTAGTACATACTCATACATCACGCCATACATACAACCTATAAACATATGGGTATTCACATTGTTCTCAAGCTATGTTTATTTAATATGTAAATATAAGTCGAATGTTTGAATATTTAGCTAGATTTTGGCTACAGAAAAAATGATATCTCAAAAAAAATTTTTTTTGAGATATCAGTTTTAGAATACTGAAATTGTTTAATGATATTTTAGCAATGTATCATGAACCGAAATGTCGGACACGTTATAAACCTTAACTGTTTTGAAATAGAGAATTTTGAGCTCTATCTTATGCTATTTAAAACAGATATTTGACCACTTGTTACTTAGCTACGTTGTAGTTAGTGGACGGCAGAATAGTGAACAAGATTTCTAAAGGGATTAAAGTGATATCATATAATAATGTAACAATGTGTCACTGTTGACAAATTTTCCATAACAGGATAATCATTGTAAATGTTACAAACTTATTACATATACTTTTTTATGAAACCAACAGGTCGAACAAATCATGCGCTTGGTGATGCTAACCGCCAAACCTACCAGATATTGAACGCTGTGTTATTTTTTATGTGAATTAGTAAATAATATAAGTAATACGGTATATTAATAACTTCTATACCCTAATGGTAAGTACAAAATGTTTTATGCCATATTTAAGATATCAAGTGATTTATGTGACATTCATTATACTGGGTGATATCGCTTTAATCCACTTAAGATACCTTGTTCACTATTCTAAGCGACACGCATATCCATTACTAGTTGGTCACTCAACGGCACCAGACACCCTGAGACATAAATTTGACAAATCTTATATGCCTGTAGTTTCACCAGCACCGTTCAAAACCAGAACGCAGTAATGACCACATTATTGCTTGGCTGAATTACTTATGGTGGAAGTACTTCCCTAGACGACGACGAAACCCACAACAATCTCTACTGCTACTATGATAAATATTTATACCTTTCTTTTTATATTTATATCAATTTAAATAGTGCATCAGTCAATATTCGTAATTACTATTGTTATTTTTTTCTTTTTATAGTCTGACTGACAAAAATGTTGTGGAAAATGCGAATGGAGGTATGTTAGATGTTGTGTTGGTGAAGGAAAGACAATATATGCGGCGTATGTGTAACTACAGGAATTTTTCACGCCCATGGTTCTACCAGTAGAACTACGGGCAAGTAACGTTTTAATACTGATTGTAGATATTTTAAAGAAACAAAATGTGGTTACATATAAAGGTAACTCATAGCTTCATTTACTTGGTATCCAGCTCTCACTCTCTATTTCACCATTTTCCCTTACCACCCCTAGTTTACAGATTTCAAATTTTTAAACCTGATCATAACAGAGGTTCAGTGTACTCCATTAATGAACATACGTACTATAGTAAGTACATACAAGTTGATACAGTTAATTACTGAATCACCATCAAATAAACCATAAAATTACAATTCTGCGAATTTGATCCCTAACACCCAATCAAGAGGTGGTAAATATTGCATCAGTTTAAAATAGGACTGTTTCACACAAACATTTATCATGTAGTGTTAAGAAGGCTGAGTATATTGCTGTCCAATTGTTATATGAAACTCTGAAAACCCATTTCCGCAAGCATGTAAATGGTGTAGTTGGAGTGTTATCAACATTTTTATATTAAAAATATTAATGGCGATATGCCTGTAGCATTAACGCACCATAAAAGCGTACATGTGAAACTGGCTTCCCTCACATAATAAGCAGATGTTTTCTACTTGTTGTTTCACTGATTGACTGACTAAATGGACAAATAAAGTTCAAATTTGATACATTTTCAAGTGTTTATTTTATGAATGGAAACTTCAAATTGCATAGAAACTGAATAGAAAGAGACTGAACAGGAACTTGTCAATATCCAAAGGCAGTTAAAAAAATTAACATTCTTACACTAGCCTCACAGTACATTTATGAAAATGTAATTTATGTTAAAAGGAATAGTAATTTCTTTATGAAAAATAGTGACAGACATAACATTAATATGAGGAATAGAAATAAACTAGCTTCTCTTGATAGTCGTCTTCACAAAGTCAAAAAATCATTTAAGGGGCAATGTATACGCTTCTATAACAAGATTCCGGTTGATATACAAAATTTGCCTTTCACAAGGTTTAAAACTATAGTGAAACAAAAACTTTATACTAAAGGTTATTGTACAACTTCTGCATACTTGGATGACAAAAATCCGTGGTAGTAACCCGTTTAGCTCATGGAGGTAGTCTCGATCTCTGATGTTTCAAATAAAAAAAAAATATTGTAAATGTTATTTACAAAGAGCAACCCCTAGCGTTTCTTGCTCATTCTTCTCAGGGGAATCTGCCTTACGAATGAGCGGTAGAGTTTAACCATTGTGACGATTTCAAGTGTAATAATGCTTACCTATGAAATAAAGATTATTTTGAATTTTGAGTAACTCATTCATGAACCGTATTTAAAAAGCACCACATCCCGGGTACACAGGAATATCTTATTATGATATTTAATTTTATAATCAAGACTGCTACTGGGGGTCTACTCCATTTCTACATCTGACATCCGTTCGAAAGAATTCCTGTCAAATACGTTATGCTCAAACAAATTAAAAAGCAATGTCAAATATGAAGCTTCATTCAAATCATGTGTCTTTTTAATTTTGGTTGAGTATTACTCGTTTGACAGTAATTGTTTCAGTCAGAGAAAGAGCGTAGAGGACCTGTTATGTTATATCCATGAAAGTGTTAACCTGACAATGGATAGGAAGTGCAAGCAAATGGTGAGCAAAGGACACTAACTATATTTATAATGTTGCAACAGCATCCACTTCACTTGGAATACTATAAACTTTCACAATTTTTATCAAATGAAAGAAGAAATTGAGAAATGTTTCATGACAGTGGTTTTATGGATTCACACCTTTAGTCTAAGAAGGCTACATCGACAACATAACAATTTTTCAGGAGAGACGTTTAAAGATTCTATTAATGAAATGAGCTGACAACTTTTATGTTTAAATAGGCGAGTTATAAAATTTCACATAATTTAAATCATGTAGTTTGTTTTTATCACTTTTATGAGATAAAAGCACTTTAACATACAACCATATGTAGCTCCATTGTATATTTATTTGTACGTGTAATGAAGCAACCCACATAAGGCTTCATGATCTGTAAGTGCCTTTATAAATCAATATGAACAGGTGTGCGTGACACGTAGTATTTAGAATATTTCTCAGGGCAATATACTTTGGTTTAGTACACTGTATCAATAAGTGATATTCATATATAAAGAAAGTGGGCTTGACAATTAATGGAGATTCTTTGATTTTGAAAGCTGAGTAAGATCCTACATCTTACTCAATAATGACAAAACTGTCAGATATCAAAGTAAGTAGGGGAGAGAAGTAATGGGCTTTATTTTCATAGATCTTTATTGATATAGACCTTTTTGTTACATTGTGTTAATTTTTTAAATTGTTATGTTTTCTAAATGGCGGATGAAAATAGGTCATTTGAGTATGTGTTTGAGTATGTTCACCAGTTGAGTATGTTTAGTTTCAAAAACTGGCCCTTCTAATCCAATGAATAAAATCATATGAAATATATTTTTATTTCATAGGTAAGCAAATTACACTTAAGAATGTCACATTGATTAAACTCTACACATATTCGTAAGGCAAATTCCCCGAAGAAGAATGTGTAAGAAAAAGAGTTTCTAGTAGTAGACACTTGTTCACATTTATCATTTAAAATTTATATCTCAAATATGTTAGATGTTTCGAGTGCACTTTACCTAGCATTCCATCAATTTATTGTAATTTAAAAAAATATTGTAATTGTAAGCCTCCAGGTCTACAATACCAAAATTGAAAATTCAGTACGTGAGCTTGTTCTCTCTAACAAAGTATTTCCAAAAAACTTATTGAATAGCTGATTCCACTGGAACTGATAAAATTTACTTAGCAGAACACTGGGGACTGGCAAATACCTAAAAGGGCACCACCAATAAACAAATAGAAGAAGCCACAACTTGAAAGGGCTAAGATGGTCTCTAATATGGATTTTTGTCATTCAACCCAAGGAAGCTGTATAAAAGTTAATCTTTAATATGAAGTTTTTCTTTCCTTAGTTATAAACCTTGTTAATGGCAAATTTTAAATATCAATCTGACTCTTATTATAGAAGCAGTTAAATGTATACAACCCTTAACCATTTGACCGCCACAGATGCTTTAAAGCGTCAATAAAACCATATTCAGTCATAGTTAAATTTTATGTTCATTTACCTTTTTCTTTAACTGAGGAGAATAGAATTAATATAACGTTAAAATTCATAACATGTCACATCACTACAGTTGGCATCTAGGAAACAAAACTAGTTTTTGTCATTTGTGGCTCTGTAATAGGTAGATAGATTGATGTTATATGAAACATTTATTTTTATTATAATAAAAATTAAGTTATGACAAAAGCTACTGATACCGCGGTTAATGAGGGGATGAGCAACTCGACAATACGTTGAGTATAATTATAGGCTAATTTACTCTAAATTGGTTTGTAAAAACCTGAACCGACGTAAAATCGCGATATTTGATAACCAATTGTAGTCGCTACAGTGACTCACCAAACACATCGTGTAGTGCCGCTTTAATATTTTTAAAAAGGATACGAATTACTGCCTTCTCCCAGGGCTCCACCATGTACATCTCAGTCACGAGCAGGTATCTAAGGTACCAGTAGCTAATGAAAGCTTGGATTTTCTTAATGATTTCCATTTTTATGATACCGACTTGTAAACTTCCGACAGTCGTAAAAAA